TGGGCTCGGGATCCGGCAGAAAAGTCACCCCAGGTGGCGGCGGTGGGAAGGTCCCAGCCCGAGACCCACGGCCAAGGGGAAGGAGCCCGGAAGGCGCCGCTCCCGCCATCACGCCCCCAGCCTCCCGATGTACCTTCTCTCCGGTGCGCTCAGGGCACCGGGATGTCTGGTCACCAGATGACTGCACGGAGCTCCTGTCCTCAGGCGGAGGGGGGCTCGCGCCCCCACCACACACACACATGCAGCCTCTGTAGCTGTGGGTGGCCACCCAGACTGGGACCCCAAGCTGCAGGCAATGGCCATCTCCCGCCTCCACCACTGCCTACCTGTGAGGCAAGGTGGCTGAGAAACACCACCGGCCGCCAGCGGGGCTCGGGGTGGAGTGTCCATCTAGGAACCAGGAGGTCACGGTTCGATTCCAGGTCAGGGCACAGGCCCGGGTTGCGGGCTCGGTCCCCAGTAGGGAGCGTGCAGGAGGCAGCCGATCCATGATTCTCTCTCATTGATGTTTCTCTCTCTCCCTCTCCCTTCCTCTGACATCAATAAAAATATACATTAAAGAAAAAAAAGAATATGTGGAAAGGAAGGGGTGCACTTGGCAGGTTTGGACATTCTCCTGAGATAACTCACCAGGGGTTGGCCGTTGTCAGATGGCGAGAGACAGGAAGAGGGGTGAGAGGGTAGAAGGGGCCAGACTTGGGCCGGGGCCAGCTGGGGCAGGGGCGGACGCTGCAGGGTGTCCGTCCGTCCACAGCACAGAAGAGGCCTCCAGCCACGGATGGGGAAGAAGCCGCCCCGACAGCTGGCCAACTGCAGAAGGGCTCCCGCGTGCCGACCTGAGCGCTAATCCCGCGTCCCAGCTGGGAGAGGCGGGCCATCCTTGGATATTCGGGCTCAGTGACCAGCACAGACCACCGGTGTCTGCCTCCCTGCTTGCCACCCCCCCCACACACACCTCTAAGTGCTCACATTTATCTTCCTGCAGGCTCACCCCCCACAGTTGGCTGGACCTCGTCAGCCAGGGCTGCCTGGGACTCTGGGTGGCTGCAGCGGGCCCAGGACCAGCCCCCCAGAGCCCCCTCTCTGGGCCATGTGCAGGAGGTGGGGGCCACCCCGGCCCCGCCTCCTCCGTCAGAGCCGAACCCCACAATTAGCCTGGGGCACCGTGCCAAACGGCCGTGCCAGCCCCCACGCACGCCCACGTGACCACGCGTGTGCAGGTACACACGTCTGTGATGGCAATGGGGGCCCTGTCCCCCCAGAGTGTCCCCAGGACAGAGAGCCCAAGGAGGCACTCCAGACCCAGGCACCCGGCATTCAGAGGCTGTGGGTGGGAGGATCTTGTCCAGTCCCAGCGCTGGGTCAGGCCAGAAGGCCCGGAGGGGCCGAGAGGCCTGGCAGAGCTGGGGGGCCTGGAGCTGCCTGGAGGGAAGGTGCCTGGGGGGGAGGGCCCGTGTTCTGGAGCGGCAGGGGCGTTGGGAAACCCCAGGGGACAGTGCAAGTCTCCGGTCCAGTGAGGCCGGGGACCTGGTGAGGTGCACAGTGCTGGGGGCGCTGGACAGGTCTGGAGGCCGGGCTGGTAGCACAGTGGGCAGCGACCAGAGGACAAACACTCGGCTTTGGGCAGGCAGAGCCCGGGGTCCCAGCGAGCAAACGCCCAGCTCAGGGTGGGACAGCCTCCCCCCCCCCCCCCCCCATGACACAGCTCCTAAGGCAAAGGAAACCGCTGTGGGTCACTGGGGAGGGGTCAGGTTGCATGGGAGGTGGGCTCCTGGCCTGCCTGCCCAGCTCCCCAGGGCCAGGCCCACCCCCTTCCCCAGTCGGTGGTCACTCGGTTGAGCAAGAGGCTGCCACACACAGGATGGACCAGAGGCTGCCTCCAGGAAGCTCGGCCGGGCCTGGGGACAGCAGACCTCCCTGGCCTTCCCCTCCCCCTTCTCCGGCCCTTCTGTCCCCCATCCCGACTCCTTTCCTGGGGCCTCAGGTACCGGAGGGTAACCCCCAAATCAAGCCACGTGCCAAGACCAGGCTGGGAGGCCAAGCCCCCCACGCCCCCTGGCCAGTCTGGGGAGCCTCTGCCAGGTGGAGAGGGAGCCGGGGGCCGAGCTGGAGCCCCCTGCACGCCCCCCCCCACACCCCTGCCCTCACTCCCACCGACTCGGTGCCTGGACTGAAAATGGCTTCTCCCCCTTGCTGGGCAGAGGAGGGGGGCCCCCAGCTGAGCCCCTTCCCCTTCCCTGCAAAGGGCACCTCGCCAGTGACCTGGGCCCTGGCGCTCCTGCAGAGCAGGCCCCCAATTCTGAAAACACCCCGGGGTGGGGGTCGGGGGCTGGAATCCACAAAGGCCCAGCACCCCACCTCTAATTGGTCCTCCATCGCCCAGGTCACCCCATGCTGCCCAGCTGCCGTTCCCACACCCTCTGCACCACGCGTGCCACAGGCCCCCTTGTACCCCAAGACAGGGCCGCCCTCCCTGGCCTCTGTCCAGCACCCCCTCCCCAGCCCTCCAAGACCCAGGTGAGGACAGCACCAGCCCCGGTGGGCACCAAGCCAACTCCCGCCCCACGGCCACCCATGCCCGGAGCACTCCCGCTGGGGCCTCTAGAACAGCCCCAGCCTCAACAGCCGAGCGGGGTGCCTGGGGGGAAGCCAACAGCGCCCCCCGCACGACCCCCAGTCCCACCCACGGCCAGGCCCTGCACAGGTGGCGAGCGGCTCGGTGGCCGAAGACCAGACAGAGCCCGAGGCCAGCTGGGGA